CATATACATATACATACACATATACGATTTTGTTATATATTTATTTATTGTTTATTTACATAGCATGCTCTTCGTAAGTGTACAGACGGGAAAGCCAAAGTCTCGAAACAGAACACAACTTACAACAGTCCCACCTGACTTGAAATCTCTGCCGGAGGGCGCCAGCATGGTGGAAGCTCGTCCCCTCCCGTGCCAGGGCTGCCAGCGAGACCTGAACAGCTCGCCCAAGCACATGCAGATCATCAGGTAAATCAAGGTGCCCTAAACTCCAAGCTCAAACCATGGTCTCTGAAGCCTAATTCTTTCCGACTTAGATATGCGATCTGAGTAGGAATCCGACGATGCCTCATCACTGAATGCCCCCGCAACGAAACTTCCTTTCTTAGCGCACCTCGTAGCGCTCGAAGATGAAGCCACTGGAGGCCATGAAGCTGTTCAAGGCCTCCAATGAGCTCGGGGTTTGGGGATTTCTATCGCATTGCAGTCCGAAAAGATCCGAAAAGTAGGAAGCGGTGCTGTTGAAAACAATATCTTCACATGCCACATCAACTCCTGGGCACACAGAGAGCTGGGGACCCCCGTAAACTCGCCAAATGCTCTGATAGTCGCACGAGAAGCGGTCCGCCTGCGTGCATTAGTGCAGTACCCATAACATGTGACCGGACGAAGGATGGAGGCGAGCCTGTGCACCTGCCTACTTACATAAACGAAATCATAAATGGTGGAACGTGCGAGTGGTGCATATAGGGCATGTGCACCTGCGTAAACTTGCATCTGCACCTAGACATGTAAAAACAGTATGTACACGTGGCTGTGCCCCGCTTCTCCCGCATTAGACAACATAGTGATGCAACAAAAAAGCATCCTGAGGCTAAGCTTCAAAGTAGCTCTCGCAGGCTGCATTTGGCGAACAACCCTAGACCCCTTCATGGGGGTTTCCGAAAATAGGNNCTAAATAGTAGGATCATTATTATAAAGGACCCCAAAATAGGGTACCCCCTGGGTACCCCTAATTTTCGGAAACTCCCTCATGCTCATCCCAGACTCCAAAGACCAAAACTGGCAGACCCGAGTTCGGCCTCGAACTTGCTCTCCTCAAGAATCCAGCTGCTCTTGGTTCCGTCCATTTCGATCCATTGCACACATGTCCTGTCCGGCCAGATTTGTTGTGAGCGAACGGCTCAGACATGAACAAGAGGCAACCCGGTCTTGTAGGGATACTCTGCTGAGCATCTCGTAGTGGTGTGCCTTTCCTACACAGTTCAAGCTCAGCTGGCCTGAACGTTAAGGATGCTACGAGGCAGCACAAGAGAGGGGGGGAGAATGCAAGATGCCAGGACGTCGGAAACCAAATGAGCAGGCACTGTCTAGGAAAGATGATGATGAAGCGGGTTGCGCAAGCCGCAGGGTTGCTCAAGAAACGGCCAGCCCAGACCGAACACCGCAGCAAAACAGCCTACATGGTGGGAAGAAACAAGGTATGGCTGGCTGCGTCCTGACAGATGCAACAATCAGGACCATGGCTGCCACTTCCCAACACACCATGCCTTCTGGAGCGTACACATGAAGAAACAGCAGCCCTGCTGCCGCTATTCTTCAGGCAGGGGACCCGCAACTCAAACCCTTCCGCCAACCTCTGCAATTCCGCGGAGTGTTGACGACCGGCTACTGTTGCCTATATTCTCTCTTGCACCAGAACCTCGTGGCCATGAGCCCCAGTTGCGAGATCCCACAGCCCAGCAAGTAGGCCTTTTGAGCTTAGAAACACCTCCAAGTACCTCTGAAGGTATGTGCATCTGTAGATCGATGTAAAGGTACATGTCTATGTATGCATTTCTTGCGCTTGTATTTGTTTATGCACAATGACACAGATGTATACATATACACAGATGTACACCATTATACGAGCTTGATAAATATCTATCTATCTATCTATCTATCCATCTATCTACAAATATGTATACATGCATACGTACATACATACATACATACATACATACATACAGTCATACATACATACATAAATACATACATAC